GTCATGATATGTTTAATTAGGACTATTTAAAGTAGTAGACTCATATGTGATTATGTTTCCGTGCGATGGCCAAGTCATTCTATTAATTAAAGAAATAAATATATCTAATATTAATACGGTCACTATAAAATGTTGTAACTTAACTAATTCGGTAACGATTTATGACAAAGTTGTCGGATAGATGCTTCCATAGATAGGTAATGAATAAATTAACCGACTTGGTTTTACATTACATCTCATAGCTTTTTGCGGTAGAAGAAATGCGTTGCGAGACTTGCAAATTTTTTACAGAATGTTTTTGATGGGATATTTTTTAACAAATAACAAGTAGTTGCCTGATATAGAACAAAAAGCATACAAATAAGGCTGTAACTGATTGGCAGATCGAATTGAGACAAATCGTCTGTCTGACAGAACATTTGTCACAATTACTACGTTTGTCGACTAACGTAATAATTGCTAAAAGATATTAGAAGACTTAGTGCAAATAATACTGTTTTCTTTATTAAAATGTTGTATTCCATATGGATTGATAAGAAATATGTATGTAGTATATGTACATATTTGTTTAAATTATAGATTTATTTACTTTGCATACATTATATATAAATATTTTTATAAAAACAACAAACTTTTTTGGTGAATTTTGCTATCAATTACCAATATTTCGATTCCGAATAAAATAGCTGTGACATGCGGACAGACGGATATCACAAAATTATAATGTGTCCTATTTTGGTTTCATTGGAACCCTATAAGTAGCCCGTCGAAGCAGATAGCCAGTGGTAACTAAATTTTTAGAAACTTTTAGAATTTTTGTTTGTCTGTCTATTTTTTCGTAGAATTTCGGATTTAGATTTTTTTAAACTGACTTTAATTGATTGGTCAAGCCCAACGATAGAGGCATTGTACCTCCTGTTCTACATATATGCGATACTGTATAAAGCTTTAAATTTAAAAGCTCTAATCTAAACAAATATTACAAAGAGGAAAGATTTATATTTTTTTTATGTTTGTAACGAATAAACTCAAAAACTACTTGACCGATTTAGATGGGTAAGATGAAAGTTTGAAACCCTGGGAAGGACATAGAATATTTGTTATTCCGGTAATCATCCGTTAAGGGGGTGAAAATATGGATGAAAATTTGTATGGGAAATCAACCTAGGGACGTACCCAACCGAAGCTAGTCTTATATATCTTATGACGTAGGTAATATTGATAATAAAATAAATGTTTTAATAGGCAATAAAAATAATGTATTTATGACGTCACTTTGGCAAAACCATGATAAAGCACTCATTCGAGAGTAGAATCAATTAATTTATGGCGAAAAAAGCTGGATTTATATGAATTTAGATATAACAAGGACGCAATATCGCTTTCGAGGGCCACTCGAGATACCACCGCCGTCATCACTTTGATTTCATTATCTATAAACACATTCATATGTGGGTACTTTATTTACTTAGTCAATATTTTGGCAGGTTTTTTTATATAGACAACCTCTTCTATGAACTATGATATTCTTACTGTACCTTATTGTAAGAGTGTTATCCATTATGTCTTCTTCATTTTAAATGTAGGCTCAACGCGCTTTTACAGTTTTTCAATCAACAGTATTTAAGCCCCATCTGATAATAATTATATTTATTTTAAATATCAATTCAGAATTTTTATACTAAGTGGATATCTCCAGTAGAGCACAGATTACTTCAGCAATATCACGTAGAATGGTAAAGAACAGACAGCACATTTACATAATATAAAGTACATTAAAACCTCATTGAGAGAAAGTTATTAGTAAATACTAATAAAAAAATATAAAAAGCTATCCAAATCTTATACAAAACAGAAAAAATTAATATTATTTGATAATTTGAAAGTAGCAACTTGGGTTTCTCACTCATCCTTATCAGCAGAACTACTTTCTGAATGGAAGAGTCCTTATGGACCAACAACTCTGTCGTTTTTATTAGTTATGTAATTTAATTGCTCAAAGGTGCTTGTTAGAGTTTAATTGATAAACTATTTTTTAAGTTTGAGCTATTATGGTCTCTTTTAATCAAACCCTTTTAGATTTTAAGACAGAAAAAATATTAAGCTTTAATATTTACATGAATGTTATGATAAACGTGGTATGTTTATAAATAATGGAATGACACTCAAATAATTTTACTAAACTTAATTAATTTTCCTGAATATTTTAATCTTATTAAATGAAAAACAAACAAAATTTATTGAAACAAATTACATAAGGTTCGGGCGTCTAATTAAAATGTCTTGATTGAAGTATTAAGGGATTTCCATAGGAATTGTTGCTAAATTACTAATTACTTACCACTTTTATTACCATATTTTTAAGTCGTTTTCGATATCTATTCAAGCATGTTTTCCTCATATTTTCGACAATGATCATGGCCGAATTTCTACCACTAGGCGAACACTTGCTCAGTGCGTCAGAGCATTTTGTTATGTTTTTTATGGTGCTCGGTACTTGATACTTGGCCCGATTTGAGGCTCGAGTCAGGATCTCAAACGCTAGAGCTGTATATAGCTGCTAGATTAAATGGGGCGGATGCCTGTATGAAATTTATTTAAATTGGGACCTTTTTTAATATAGATATGCTAGAGTAAAAGTACAAAATATTCAATTGAATAGTTGAGAACAGATTACTTCATCAATGTCAAGTAGAATGGAAAACGTCTTTCTCGGGAAGATAGGCCGGAAAATGTTCAGAATATTTGATATTATTCCTTTCGTTGGCATAATATATAAGTTCTTTAACTTTTTCGATAATGATTATGTGTATTTATTAACTCTTCTCTAATTACTTGAATTAGTTAATTATCCACTCCAATAACTATGGAAGTTACGTATTGTATGTACGGTAATTATCATTAATAAGCAGAAATCAGTTGTTTTCGTTTCGTGATGTGTTCCTAGACAGACAGACAAAAATTCTAAAAACTGTAGATTCGACCTGTGTCGATAATAATGACTATTTCAAGAAGGTTTTGGAAAAAATATTTAATGTACAGATTCGACTCAGTTAGAATTTTATTATATGTAAAGATTTTGTTTATTTTGTCTTGAAGTGTCGTAATCTCTGGTCTATGGGAAGGAATTGTTTTATCGCAGACAGCACAGCCATACATAGTAGTTTTTTTAATAATTATTTACCAGTATAAAGTTAAGTACCTACATTATAACTTTTTTATATTATTATATAAGTGTACAGCAAATGTAGAAACGTTTTCATAATTTAATTATCTGTTACTAACTGCAACATAATATATTCTGTAGATTTTTCTTATAAGATTTTATTAACTAGAAAATTCGCACAAAACAAAATTTTTTTATTAATATTAAATAAGTGGATAAACTGGAAATATTACGACAGAAGATATTAGAATAATCTGAAGATGTAAGGTTAGTGTGGTCTAAGAGTTAATTGAAATACCACCACGTAAGTATATACCTACGAGTATAACTCACCTGACGCGCAATCTTGAGCAAAATGATATATAATACTTTTAATATCATTAGAAACTTTATATGTTTGATATATGTCTTTCATATTTGATATTCATACACTTCGTACTATAGCACGAATGCTATTTGTGTATTTTATTGCACGATTATATGAGATATTAGATTTTTATATATGTACTTATAATAATAATGAGGATGCCTGTGATTTTAAAATAGCAATTTTAACCAATGGATAGACGATTAAGCCAGAAATTAAGGATAAAAAAAATGATTCTCGACGTACATGGCACTTTTTGATGGACTTCTGGCAATAAGCCGAAACTGAGATAATAGATAATGAAAATAGAAATTTAGGGCCAAGTGCAATGTCTTTATTTTGTTTTACCAATCTATATAATATTCTCTATTATTTATTTTTCGTTATACTTCTAAAGTTAATATCGTATTCAGCCCTTCTTTAACTTCTGGGCACCGGTCTCTCTTTAATACAAGGGGGATCTGACCATAGTCCACAGCGCTAGCCAAGTGCGGGTTGGCGGGTTGGCGGGTGAAATTAATATACAAATTATATATTTTTAATCTATCAACCTATTTCCATAGGTAAGAGAAATAGCTTTATATAGTGGACTACAAAAGTACATTTATGTACAATGTAGTATAATATATACTTACATAATATAAATACATAGATAAAATCTATAGGTACTAATATTATAAAGAGGTAAAGTTTGTGAGTTTGTGACGTTGTAGGGGGAAATCTCTGGATCTACTGAACCGATTTAGATGAAATTTGATAAGAAGATAGTTTGAGGCCCTGGAAAGGACATAGGAGACTTTCTAGCCCGGAAATCATACCTTAAGGGGGGGAAAATGGGGATGAAAGTTTGTATGAGGAATCAACCTAGGGACGAACCCGAGCGAAGCGAGGGTAAGTCGCTAGTATATATTTATAAATATAATATATGATAGGGTCATAAATTATGAAGTTATATTAATTAATAAAACATTGGACATAATTATGATAAGCTTTTACTTGTATGTTAAACAAAGAAGCTTATGAAAAGCGCTACTACGTCACAAAACGTGCTGAACGAAGTTTCAGCGGAATTAACGTATAAATGTATGGTCATAGCAGCTTAAATTATTATTATGCACGATTTTATACTAATGCATTTTTTAAAGAAAAAGAAATTTATGCGTTTGAAGCCTTCAATAACTTTATTTTATTATTCTACTATTTATTATGTTTGTATGTTTTTTTTTTAAATCTAAACTCAAAGATTAAAACTGATATCGTAGTAATTTGGTCCCCGGTCTTTTGGGACATGTAATACGATAAAGGGACAGCTTTTGATGTTTACTTTGAAGAGAGCTTTCATCGCTAAAGTACACTAAAATTTCCTAACACTTTGTTCTATAAAAAACAAATATGGCTTATTTATGTGTTAATTATATGTTAATAAAATTTTACAATATGATTTTTTACCAAAGACTGGTAACTTACCGGTCCTCCGTATTCATATCCAAGATCCAAGGCGACAAGCTCAGCAACTTCTTCACCACCTTCCACTTCAACTGTCCATTCGTCGATGAAGAACTTCGAATTTTCCCTGCCATTATGCCAGTTATGGTATCCCTCAGATATAGGGCATAATACCACAGTTACACAAATTATTAAGGAAACACCAAGAAACATAATAATAATGATTTTTTAACATTAAATATATATATATATTTTAATGTTTTTACAGTAAAAATAAAAAATATAGCTAAGTTAGCTATCAACTTTGTTCGTAACGTCTTTTCTATGAACGCGATGCGACGCGGTCAAGTGAAGCGTATGAATGAACGTTTGTGTTAACAATGCTGACCAATAAAAGTTAGGTATTTATTGTAATATATTATGTAGAAGATGGTAAATTTAGACATTTATTATTGTTCCTAATTAACAGAAGGCTTTACTTTAATAATTCATTATGTATAATGTATATACTTATTACTATATGTATATGTTATATTCATCTCAAATCTAAAAAGAGGAAATTATTATCATTAAAATCGGCAATGGGAATTCAATGAGCCCTTACAAATATTGAAAATGATACGATAATAACAACCGTAAAAATATTTAGGTTAGAATCCACTTTCCATTATACTAAATAATACTAATTTGGATATTTTTTAATGACGCCAGAACGGCTGAACGGATCTGAATGAAATTTGGCACAGAGATATATTACCTATAGTCTGGAATAACACATATGCTATTTATCCCGGAGAAATATATAGTTCTCGTGGCATAGATTTGTTTTTGTTTTTCTAGAGGCGAACTCGAGCGATGTGAGGGTGAGCTGTTAGTATCTAAATCTATACATATAATAAAATTGTAACTAAGCCGAATCTGTACATTAAATATTTTTTGGAAAATCTCATTGAAATAGACTTTATTATCGATACAGAGGCCGAAACTGTAGTTTTTAGAATTTTTGTCTGACTGTCTGTCTGTCTGTTACCGCATCATGGGAAAACTACTAGAGGGATTTTGATGAAATTCGTTATGGTGATAGCTGGTTATCCGGATCAACATATAGGATACTTTTTACCACGGGAAAATATCTCATTTCTGAGAAAAAATATAAAAATTGCAATGTAAGAGTATACTAATATGTAAAGCCTAAGAATTTGGTTGTTGGTCAGCTGAACGCGGGCGGAGCCGCGGGCAATGCTAGTATAATATACAAATAACCCAAGATAAAACAGCTCAGTGCCTCTTTCTCTTCTGTTTGTCAATCCATTTTCTTTTTTTTTTTTGTTTGTCAGCTATTGATACGAGCTTTAGTGTTATCTAGTATATTATGTTCTGTGGTGTTATCAATAAAAATCCTGAAATGATTTACTTTATAATTTTTATTCATATCTTATTTATCATTTATTTATTAATAAAATTTTATTTCTTTAACTTTTTCTATATATTTTCCTTCATGGTAGGCAGATGTAAATGCACCCTCTTGCAGGCCCCTCACGGCGCTCATAGCAATATAAATATAAATAGTTCATATGAATTTAATAAATAATTCTTATCAAAGAATTGAACCTGTGATTTCCGACTCAGTACCTATACAGAAAAAATATACGTAAAATCAAACTTTTTATTTATATGATTACGCCATCTAGTATACTTAAATAAAAGTTGTTTGAACCAGCATTTTATTTAACGTGCTAACATACATGTAACGTACGTGTTAGCGTAGTGAGGCACAAAAACGTCAGATGGTGTTGGATTTGATCAGTTTATTAAACAGTTAATAAAATATATATATTATAAGAAATCGGAGTTAATATTATTATGTTGGGTGTGGTGCCGACTGCCGAGGTGCCGTCGACCAGTTTTGGTCCATTGTAGCTAATTGGAGTTATATCTTTCGATTAATAAATAGTAATAATTGGAATGGTTAGATAATTTTTTACCACGATCATTATATATTTACTACATTATAGCAAACACTATATGTAATAATGAGTATGTAATTGTAAAGTCAGTCATTAGATATATGGCAAACACAAACATCACCTAAGTTTAAGGGATCCTCTAACCATGGTTAGGGGACTGTTAGGGGATAGTTTTTGTTTCACCGACAGTTAGGGGTCACCTAAATGTTAATATGCCACCTAAATATAGGTACTAGAAATACGATCGATCATCTGACGATGGTAAAACGAAATTTAATTTAGGGGCTAGTTTAGGGGAACTTTTAAGCTAGCGATCCCATAGGTGGTAGCTTATGGGATGTTGGTGAAATCGGCCAATAGTGTCTCAGACTGAGGAATTATGTAGATGGACACTCCATCACAGAACTAAACGTGAAGCTACATATGTATATAATACTTTCTTAGATTTACGCGAATGTTTGACATTATTAAATAAAACTATCTTTTCGGATTATTTCGCGGATTTATTTTGATTTTTGGTTCCCGACGTTTCGAATGCTTTACAGCATCCATGGTCTCAGTCTCTCCCGTGACCATGGATGCTGTAAAGCATTCGAAACGTCGGGAACCAAAAATCAAAATAAATCCGCGAAATAATCCGAAAAGATAGTTTTATTTAATAATACATATGTGTATGTTTTAAAACAGTGTTCAAATGACAATTTGTATATTGAGTGTTAAGTAAATAAATGTTATCAATAAAGTTAAATAACGGATTTTATAATTTAAATAAGCTAATATTATGCTAAAAAATTGATAAGAATATATTTTTTATTCATATTTTATTCTCAAAAATTATTCATTAATTTAAGTAATATATACACATAAAAAATTTCCCTTATCCCTTAAAACGTCTAAATGGCAAATCTATATGAAAAAATTGAAAATAGTACCTTAAGCAGCAAATCACGCTACTATTTTTGACTTTGACATTTATTTTGGCGTTCTCCGTCGATATAATTCTTTAAGCTGAGTATAGTGTATCTATACACTTTATATCCCTATACGTAAATTAAAGCCTCTTTTCACTAATCGCTCATTTTATCGGAAAAGGTTTTATAATACATTAATATTACTTGTATTATATTATTATTATTTGGATGTTTCTTACTCAATCATGCCAGAACGCCTGAACGGATCTGGATGAAACACACAGGTTGGCATAGATATAGATAGTCTGGAATAGCAAATAGGTTGTTTTTTATTCCCGAAAAATGTACGGTTCCCGTGGGATAGATTTGTTTTTTTTCACTAGGGACGAACCCGAGCGAAGCGAGGGTGAGTTGCTAGTGTGCTATAAATCTTTATTTTACTTATTATCTTATAATTGTAATTTGTTAATATTTCTCATCCTCGAAAGTCAAGACCTTAATAAGACCGTCTGACATTTATTCCATTAGCCATCGGCCACATGTGAATTGGTTATTGATATTGCCACTTTAAATTTATTGGAGCACACTAAACCTAATGACATAATTGCATCTGTTCTAATTTAAACGCTTGTTGCAATCTAATAGAACGAAAATATAAACAAACTTTTACGATTTGTTATAAATCTACATAATATTTTCAATTTAGTTTTGTATCTTTTACCTACTATTAATATTATATACATGAAGAAATATTTCGATAGTTAAGCGATATTTCTCGAGAAACTTTTGTAAAGCTCGTATGTAAAAAGTTAAAAACAATACTTTAAATATGTCGTATTATATATACATTAAACTTTATTGACAATAGAATATTCCCTAAAAATAGCTACAAAATAACAAACTTTTTTTTTATTTGCGTAGATTCGTACTAATATATAAAAAAGTTAAATATTTATATCATGAATGATTCAACATGTAGGAAGAAGGTATATTTTTATTAGATCATTGCAGCACTCAGTATGTCAGTGGAGCGAAGAGCGGCCATGAGCGAGCATCGATCAAATGTAAACAGTCTTATTCACTACTGTGCCCACGTAATTCATTATTTTTAGGAGACATCTTTTTTATTTATAAACATTATATATTTTTAAATAAAACTATCTTTTCGGATTATTTCGCGGATTTATTTTGATTTTTGGTTCCCGACGTTTCGAATACTTTACAGCATCCATGGTCACGGGAGAGACTGAGGTGTTACATGTCTTGAAGGTATAGTTGTTACAGACAGCCTGTCTGTAACAACCTTCAAGAAAATATAGTTTTATTTAAAAATGTCAAACATTCGCGTAAATCTAAGAAAGTATTAACATTATATATTTTAGTAGTAAAAATTTAATATTACAACCAAGCAGTAGTCTTTGAAATACTCGAGACACATCCTGACTGCGAGACTTTAATTTTTAAAGCCAAGCAACAGAGCTAGCAAACATTTGGTTAGTTAGTTTTTGCTTATTTATTGCTAGCAATACTACAAGTATTTAGAATTTTTTACCGAAATTTCTTTTGTGCCTCGGACTAGTTAAGTTAATACAAAAGCGTAATTAGGAAAATAAAATACTTAGTATGAAAGTAATGTCCCATAAATGTCACTTTCGACAAGTATCAAACTTTGTGAGCTTGTGAGTTAGTCGTTGAAAAAGTTTCTGAGTTCGTGTACTTCTTCACACACTAGATAAAATAAATTTAAGTGATATTTAGTTCATATCCTGAACACAGGTTATATTTTATTATGAAAATACGGCTACCAACCATGCGAGCTGAGCCGCAGGCAATATTATTATATCAATCTCAGTTTAATGGCTGAAAAGATGTAATGCAAAGCTAGTACTAAACAAAAACGAAGACATAATTCGGAATTTGCACCCAGCAACCAATATGGCGTAAGCAAATAATATAGTATATAATATATAATTTAATTTATCGTCTGTCACGACTCTCTAACATTCATAATTTTATATTTCCGTATTTTTATTCGTCTTCTCATAAAATAATTTATGGCTTCACTAAAAAAATACACACAAAATCGTCCCTGGCCAACAGCGCTACACACGCACTGGAGTTTATTTCGGGACCAATGCTAGACGAATGCAGAGGTGGCCAAACTTTATACTAGATTATTTTTTAACCCTTTTAAAACAGAAGTAAACAGTACTATAATCTTAGACATCAAGAAATATATTATTTTATTTAACCATATAATATAAAAAGACAGCTTAAAATGTTATTCGGGGTATTTAAATGCTCATTTATGCGTTTCGCAATCACAATGATCCTGCTTTAACTTTCAAACGATGCACTAAGACTCGTGTATGTAATGCAAATTAAAAGTTGAATTGTAATGGCAGTGAACAATGACTTCATTTATAATACTAATCTTAATTAATCTGCAAGGCGTAGGTTCGAGAGCCTATTTATTATGATGCCTCATAAGGTTCGCAGGGCTGCCACATATGATTAATTAATATACATACAATTAATTAATTAAGAATGTAAAATACATCAAGTACAAATTATTCTTATCAAATCAATTCCAAATACAAATTCGAGTGTAAAGAATGTTACAACGTAAAGGCAAAATAATTATAAAATAGTTGTTTTTACTATTAATTTTATATCAAGTACGTCTAAATCAATACTTATCGGAGTCACAGGATTTGTTCAGGTTTAAAGATTTAAAAAACCTGAGGCAATACTCAAAAATGTTTTCAAGCGCCCCTGATGAATTATGATCTACCTCTGACAATTCAGCATCCATCGTGAGATATAAGTAAAATAGTTGATACATCAGTTTCTGTACATTTATTATATCTATGAGATACAAGCTCTACCTATTTTAGACGTTAGTGTGCTTGAACAAAAATTGTATATAGTTTTCTACTATATAGTTATTAGTTACTAATTACTATATAGTTTTTTTTATACAATTACATATATGTAACTTGTATATATTTATGTTAATAAAGTTATTATTATATTTCCCTAAAAAATCATATAATACACATAACATTGGCTAGGCAACTGGTGCTAAACTGGTACACATAAAAGCTATATGTAAAGCTTATTATTAAAGCCGTATTTTTCTTCTTTATATATATTTTATTTGTTAAATATGAGTAGGCAAAATTATAAATTCATTACTAACTAGCAACTTTAAAGAATTAAACATCGTTATCGAAGGGACGATTCTAGATAAACCCACTCGTGTTTGCATGCATTTTTGATGTATACCTATAAATAAAGCCACACAGTTTGGGCGTCTGTGCCTAAACGCATAGCTGGGCCGCAGTCACGATGCGCGTGTCGCTCGGTACGGCCTGCGCACTCCTGCTCACCCCTGTCTCCCTGGTACTCTGTCAAGATACGGGGTACTATGCAGAAGATGGTTACCGTGACGACGCCATTGACGTGTGAGTTTATTTTTTCAGTGCTAGTGATGTGCCAGTGTTTTTTTCTAGAGTGAAAATTTCAGGAATGTATTTTTCTTTTTTATTAGCAGTGATTTTTGTTGTTTTATCGTCTCTAAGTAGCGGTAACGTATTATTCGAAAAAGCAAAATTACAAACATAATAAAAGGTTGTTAAATACAATGATTGAACAGTCATTACAAACATCTAAAAACAAAAAAATATATGATAAAATATAAAACTTAAATAAGTTGTTCAATAAATTTTCTTTCTTTCAAATCTCTTAATTTAAAATTGAAGCTTTTACTTTGTATTATAGTTGTTCAAAGACTGAATTCATTTTATAAAAAAACAAAGTCTACCTACAAACTACAAAATATTAAATATAAATAAAGTTTTAAAAATCGTCATATAATATAATAATATATTATTAAATACCCACATACTAAAAACTAAGTGAGTAAGGAACATATAAGCTTCATTCAATTACACATTCATTGAAACAACTCAATCAACTTTCATTAACGTACTTACGCACAAAATGACATATTTATACGTCACTTATCTGTGGGAAATGTAACCTAGATAAAGATGTGTACCTAAGTTTTGGTTAGACCTAAGCATTATAAAAATATATGTAACTAGCAGTTGTCTGTGGTTCTGCCCGCGTCGTTTAAAATAACGAATTTTCTTATAAACATCCAACCCTTTTTGTTTTTTTTAGGAGTTGAATTTTATAAAATCCCAACTTACTTTAGTTGGACTTGGTAGGTGCTAAACTTCAAAATTGTAGCATTTATACTTTCTAATATTTCGTGATCAATCAGTGAGAAATAGGTATGTAGCTTTTATATACATAATATGTATATAAAATATAAATATATTCTTATATATGTAAAGGCAAGTAAATGTTTCCTCACAATGTACTTTTATAGAAAGCCGTTCTATTTACACATTTATCGTCTAAGTACTTTGGGTTTCTAAGAAGCTTGGTAGTACCACTATTAATAACGTAGGAACAAGGGCCCGCATAGTCGAGTAATTGAATTGCAGCTGACTGCAGAACGTTGACCCCTTGCATTTTTAACGCGAACTCTGAGTGTTGGTATGTTTATCAGTTAGAGGAAATCGTATATGTCTGATAAATAAAATTTTCAGTAAAAATTAGTATACAATATAGACCTTATTTTTTTTAAATAGTAATTAAAAAGTTTAATTATTACTTACTATAATTTTTATTTCATTACATTTGTTTTTTTTTTAAATATTTATCACTATTTAATAATTATACATATTTAAATGTCGTAGGATGTACACCGGGTAATTCCAACAGAGAAAGCCCCGATAAGTGGGTAATTTGATTGGCGTCATTGTCTGAACCACGAAAATAATATAAAACTAGCATTTTTTTTGTTAAGAAAAATTATTACAGGATTTTATTTTATTTTATCTTACATAGTTGCAAGTAACAAAATTTTGGTACTTAATACACTTAAACATACTAAGTGATCTACTTGTTGTAAGTACCTATTTAGATTGTAAAAAAAATGTACTAAATTACATTAAAAAATATAAAATTATTAATTCAAGATTGATAAATAGCCAACTATCCACAAAGACTTACACACTATCTATTGTATATTGATGCTAGGTCCTATATCAGAAATTTCGTACATGTATAAATAAATAAATAGGTTGGAGCATTAACAAACAGCACCATCTAGTTCCATGGTAAGCTACGAGGCTTGTGTTATGGATACCAGATACTTGATTGATGATTACATATTATAAATATAAACACCCATGACTGGAGTACAAACCTTCGTGATGCCCTTCGTGAAATGCCCCCAGCGGGACTCGAGACCGCAACCGCCGGCACAGAAAGTAGGGCCACTACACACTGAGCCAAACGTGTCGTCATGTATGTACACAAAAACTTACTAATTTTTCATTATTTCCACTATAATATAAACACTATATAGGTTCTAAACGAATTATTGTCCTGGTAACCAAATTAAATGTATGACATCATACGTCCCGGGTATATAGAGCAAATTTAAGATAAGATACTTGTTGGAAGTCGAAGCTTGCTCTGACGTCATTGTTTGCTTTATAGCTTCATTAGTGTTTATTATATTTTGACAAATTAACAACCTTCATATGAAGGTCCTTATATTTAAAATTTCTTTGAATTGATAATATAGTAATCGGACTTTGTTCGTATTATCTTATATTATAATAGAGAGGCAACATCTGTTTCTCTGTACGTATAAGTGCGATTTAAAAAAATATTTGAATACTAGCGATTCTTTAGATAGACATAACTTTTTTATATATGAAAAGTGAAGCTTACCACAATACATTAGTGAAAACCGCACCTAAATCAGTTAAGCCGTTTCTGAGATTAGCGCGCACAAACGCCCAGACATATAGACAAAATTCTAATAATCATTGTTATGGGTTCTATCGTGTTAATAAAGACACCCAATAATCGTTTTTTTGAAATATCATACATGTACAGACAGCGATCAGTTACACTTTTATCATATGTAGGTATGTATAGATTGTGATCATATTTTTAACATCCGACTGATGACGATGAAGACTGATTCACGGAATCAAAATTTTTATATATTTACTTGTAAATTTTATTTGTACAGTATTATGAAATTATTTCTCTCACGTGATTTCTATTCTTTTGTACCCGATTGCGCGACGCAAAGGAGGGTAATGTGTTTATCAGTCTATGTATGTACCTACTATGTATATTTGTTCCTATTCACATAGGTTCGTTCTAGAAACACACGTTTTCCACGTTTCATCCTTTCCGCGAGATGTACATATATATGTATGTCTCCGACTGCATAATACTATATTCCTTCATCAACTTCTTTTCATCTTTTTATTTAGCTTTTATGCAGTCGAGGTTTTTATATTTATACATAATATTTTATGTACCTAATGGCTAATATTAATTTTAAAAGTCGTCTTGACCATCCCTTGCGTGTCTACCATTTTGTCTACGACTTTTTACTAAGCTAAAGCTTAATGTTATTCATCTCTCGAGAATAACTGAATGAAAAATAATAAGACTTTTTTATAGTTCTGGCAATACCCAAAATTCAAAACAAAGCTCATTTTAACCGATTAAGTCATTAGAAGAACTAAATAATGAAGTATATTGTTCATACAAACTAATTAAATTCAATGTCTCAAGATAAATAACAATTTTAGGGCAGACACACACTCAATATGTCCAACGGATAAAATACTTCGATCGAGAGAAACTTGCCGAGTTGATGGAGTCGACATGCAGTGTATTCGACTCAACTGCTGTGAAGACTACAGTTATATTGCTGGACGGTTCGTTTTTATTATATACAAAATTATCGTTATATTTATTATTAATACTACCTGTCGAATTTTGATATAAAATTAATATTCATTCATAAAAAAGTCTATGATGAATGTCCATAAGATATACTAGGTTGCTTTCCCATACAAACTTTCATCTTCCATTTTCACCCACTTAAGGGATGATTTCCGGAATAAAAGCTGTCCTATGTCCTTCCTAAATTTCATCTTAATCGGTTCAGTTGTTTCGAAGCTTATTCGGTACAAACAAACAAACAAATCTTTTCTCTTTATAATATTAATATTAACAACACAGGATTCATTTTTATGATCTCCATTTTTCATGGATTGGATGGATGGCATTTATATACAATATTAAAAAAAAAAATATTTTTTAGTCATAAAACGTTTTTTTCTTCTTCTGTTATATATATTTTTCTCGGAAAAAAACTTAATGTTAATAGGTTTAATGAAATTTTACAGCTGCATTCCGAAGTCAGTAGAGCCGTGCAGCTTGCGTCTGTGCGAGCAAGCGTGTGAGGTTCGCGATCAGCGCGTCTGGTGCTCTTGCCATCCTGGCTTTAGATTCGACGTTGATAGCTATCTACGGAAAAGACAACCTTATTGTGTAGGTAAGAAGTTTCATCTTTAAATTGTCTATAAGTGATAAATATAATATTATTGAAAGCATATAATTACTGTCTTAGTAAAGTTATAAAAATACATTGTTGATGTCCAAACGAAATCATTTTGTTTAGTTTAAGCTTCATTTATCTTAATTAAGATCAACGAAACAAGTCTTTACGATGACGAACCTTTTACATATCTTATTAATTACTAATATTAAGTAGTAAATTCGTACAGAAATTCACATAGGCATAGCCCGCCGCCAAGCAGCAAGCTCATGTTTTTTTGAACACCGTTTGCAATAGTATCCACTTAAAACCCATCAACTCCACCGGCAACTTTTTCAAATTATGTCTGACGCTTTAGAGAAACTCAAAGCATAGCCATATAGCACACTAATCGATTTAAATTAATAGCCCAATCGCACCGTTATAGACCACATTTTGGCTCTGTATGTCTCGGCTTATAGTATATTCTAACTCGTAACAGGTAGGAAGTACTCTTAATAGATCATTCAGTTAATTCAATTATCATTAGGGTTTGCGTTATTGTCAACAAAAAGACTCGAGGAAGTTTACCAAATGCTATCCAGCTGTATCCTATATTGTAAATATTGAACTCTATTAACCACCATGATGAGATCTTCCGCGAATCTCAAGCTTGAGTTGTACTGACTGTTTATGTTTATTCCTTTTCATTCTAGAAAAATGTATGTCTCAATACTGTGGAAGGAATATAGTTTAATTATTCTCATTTTTCTTTGTAAAGAAACTTTTGACTGTTCATTCAGAAAAACTTAATAACAATTAATAATTTTATACTTATACTTGGGCTGATTATAGGATCGAGTATAGACTCGAGCCTAGGACTTTTGGATCTGCAGCCATACATGCTAGCCACTAGCACTAGACCAACGAGGCTAAAATAGATACCAGATGGTTGATACACTACACACATATATATATATATATATATATATATATAACTTTAAATACACACATATTATAAATATTAAGAGTAGTAAGCCTTTAAGTACGAGCCGGTATTTATCCAAAAAAATTTTTATTTCTTACAGATATAGATGAATGTTCTTCAAACAATGGTGGTTGTGATCAGCTCTGTATAAACGACCCGGGCGGGTACCACTGCCAATGCGCTCCGCCTCTCATCGTAGCCAACGATGGCAGGAGATGCATACAGCCTGTGGGTATTATTGTATATTGACTGTATTAAATGAAAACAAATAGCTTGCTTTAAGATCAAAGTATTATTTTTAGTTACTAATATTTATTCTAGGAGCCCCTACCACTTGTACGGGCTTCGTCGAGATGCTACGCGCCATGCGACACCGTGTCGTGGCTGTCGAGGAAAGTAAAGCAACTGAGTGACCAGCTGCATACAACGCAATCCGCTCTAAAGAAATTACTGGAAAATCCTGTATTAAAAGGAGAAGGTAACATGTGCTTCAATCTAAGTAAGTTTTGTTCAAGTATTACATTATACAATTAAAATTTCATAATTAAGTACAAATAGTATTACAAGACATGACATTTTCCTATATCATACTAGCGACTCACCCTCACTTCGCTCAGGTTCGTCCCTAGCTTGTTTCCCAATTCAAATTTTCATTCCCATTTCACCCCTTTGAGTGGTGATTTCCGGGATAAAAAGTATCCTATGTCCTTCACAGGGTCTCAATCTATCTTCTTACCAAATTTCGTCTAAATTGGTTCAGTAGATCCAGAGATTACTCTACAACGTCACAAACTCAAGAGACCTGATTGCCACCGACGTGGTATAAAACAAACTCACAAACTTTACCTCTTTATAATATTAGTATAGATGATATTTAATAAAAAACTGATAGCTCATCTTGCATATTCATAATATATAATGAAATGATATATCGAGATAATTCATAATAAAATGATAGGTACATATAGCGAGATTCACCTATCAAAATTTTACTAAATGATTTTTAGCCGAGATTATTGTATTTGAAAAGCGATCTCATTAGTGTCAAAAAGAACCTCCATCATTAATGGGTGATTTTTTTTTATAATTATGAAATCAGTGTACTTTTTGGTCAAAAAATAATTATATTTAATTAACAATTTATTTCTCACTGCTAATTTGTTATAAATCAAGTTTAAACAGAATATTTGTGTATTTAATACAGATGGTCGTTTCGCAGAGGGCACATACGCTTACAGAGTTCTGGACGCCACCGCGCCTTTGGAAGGTGGATACTGTCGGTGTGAAAGGGGACCTAGGGTATAATAATAAATTTACTTAAACTTGTCTAAATTATTTTTTTTATATTTATATAATTAATTATTATTAATGAATTAGTTGCTGCAGCATGCTTTGTTTCCATTCAAAATATATGTATTAAAATATAGGTACTTACTTCAAATAATTTTAATTAATTTTTTTATTCAAAGCAACATGACATAGCTTCTGCCTACTCTAAAAGAGACCGTGGACTCGATTCCGATACGCCTATGAGATACATTTTTGTATTGAAATTAGGTACTTACAGATATTTCGTTCTGGCGGATTCCATTATCTATAAATCATAATCTCATTTTGTGGAAATTATTATAATATTATTATAATGTACTAGCATTGTTCAGATGACCAAAAACCAAATTCTTAGGTTTTACGTATGAGTATACTCTTACCTTGCAGTTTTTGTTTTTTTTTTCTCAGAAATTAGGTATTTTCCCGCGGTAAAAAGTATATTATATGTTGACCCGGATAACCAGCTATCACCATACCAAATTTCATCAAAATCCCTCCTGTGCTTTTCTGTGATGAGGTCATGTGAGACAAAAATTGTAAAAACTATAGATTCGGCCTCTGTTCGATTTTCCAAAAAATATTTTATGTACCGATTAGGTTTAGTTACAATTTTGTTATATGTATAGATATGTAATATATATCATTAATATCCTTATTTTAGGGACCCGCAGGCGCCCCAGGCATGGAAGGACCAAAAGGCGACACTGGTCCACGTGGACCACGTGGAGCACGTGGACCGAAAGGTTCCCTAGATTTAATGCTACTTCTCATAGCTGATATTAGACACGACATACATAATCTCGAGAAGAAAGTGTATCAGGAAGGTGAACGGTAAATATAATATGATCTACATTATTATTATATTCTTATTAGGTAGGTATATAAAATCTCATAATATTGTTCATAAATGTGTAAAAGTGTATCTATTTGATAGTATTGGGATAGGGGCTTGATGTTTCCTTGAAAAAAAAAACTGTTGATAGAGGGTTTTTAAAAAAGAGCTTGAGTATAGCGAAAAGAAACTAAAATACTTACCTACTAATAATATTAGCGCGAAAGTTTGTGACGATGGATTGATGGATGTTTGTTACTCTTTCACGCAAAAACTACTAAACGAATGTTGATAAAACTTTACAGTAATATATAGCTTATACATCAGAATAATACATAAGGTATATTTTTTAAATGCATAATTGAACTACGCGTGCGGAACCACGGGAAAACGCTAGTAGTTAGTACATATTACATAAAATAAGAAGAAGCTTAAAATGTTATATACTTGAGAAATATTCGCTATAATTATTTAATATTTGAGTTCATTTCGAGCTAAGAAAACGTGTGTTTAAATTAATATCGCGTATTTTACTCTAATATATTTAGTTTCTTTATAATATCTTCTTTATTATACAATAAATTTTTGTAGGGCTTGAAAAGAAAGCTATATAAATCAGAAATTTTATTCTAAGATGTATTCATGTATATATTGTATTTTTTGTTAATTTATTTGACCTTAATAAATAATTTGTTGGCTTCAGACCGGAACGCTTCAACCTGCAAAAAGCATGGCGTCATCAACACAAGCAAGAACAATTGGAGAAAGAGAGCAAGATAGAACAAGACTTAGAGGCATACACCGCGCCGCCCGTCGTCGGCGCTGATCCCATTGAGATTTCACCTCATGGTATTTAATTTTTATGTACTAAACATACTTGGTTGCTTCACTTTTTACTAACAATAAGTAAATGTTGAAGAGCTTTAGTTATTCTAAGTGTTGGCTATTTAGTCCTGAATAAGTTTATGAAAAGTTTATATTCGCATGAAGCTTTTTAAAATATCGTAAATTCGAAATTAATAATATAAAAAAATATCTCTTTAATATTATTGCTCTATGGCTAAAATTAATAATTATCTTCTAATTGTTTGCCCACCAGCCTTAGTAGGCGATATGACTTTCTACAATCGATATCATATATAGAAAACTAAAACTATACGTGCTTCTAACCACGTGACTTAACGCATAGTCCAAAGTTATAATTAGTATATCTATTACTAATAGCTATTGTAGAATTTTATCTTTTCTGTGCAGTAAACGAGCGCTATTGCAGTAAGCTTTTATCTTTCTCTCTCTAAAAGATCAAAAATCGGTAGTTTATTAATGTTAATTATAAATTAACAAAATATATATATACCTAATAATCATGTTTTACCAATCAATCTAGAGTCCTCTCTTCATTCCTCTCTTCTCTATTCTACGAAACTTTGACAAAATAATCTTTGCTCAACTGGCTCATTTTGAATCTATTAACAAGAAAATTGCATTCAGTCCTTTTTTTACGTCCCACTGCTGAGCACCATCGGACACTAACCACGCTGGCTAAGTGTGGGTTGGCGGACTTCACATGTCTTTCGTAAACGTTTCGTAAACGTTTCGTAAACTTGCTAGGTTCTCTCAGACATGCAGATTTTCTCACGATGGTTTCCTTTACTGTAAGACAAGTGGTAATCATGTTGGAGATGATTCGCACATGAAAATATTAGAGTTACGAGACCCGGGATTTGAAGCCGCTTGACTTGGTTTCCCAAGCGAGCGCGTTACCACTGGGCTACCACTGCCCCAATTAAACTGAATTGACGAAATGTAATATATATTCCCTGGTTGTAGGTGTGACCGGGGAAATAATACACAATTCTGAAACAACCACAGACTGGACTTTAGTTAAAGGAGATAACTACGACAGTGCAGACGCGTTAGACATCGCCGATATGGACGAAAAGCTCCGGCAACTGCGACTCCTTGCCAACGCGACCAGCTCCGGGGACGATGAAGACGTCGACACTGATTATGATTATAGCTTCTACTAGATATACGTATTATTTATACACTCTTTGTTTAATTTTTTACTCCCTTGATATGAATAGTGTTGCAAAAACCTGTTTTTTTATTTATTTTAAATAAAAATAAAAAAAACATGAGCTTAAAAAACAACAGTACAGAATTCAAAATTATTAAGGTAGTTTCCGTAAAAGATTAATACTAAAGAGTCTAAATAAAAGTTTTCTGTTTATTTTTAAACCTATAGTAGGTCTTTGGTTGAACTTTTTTGGTTGAATAGTACTAAACTTATATTGTGAAAATTCCGACACTAACAACAACAAGACTAGTGTAGCTGGCACTGATACTGAAAGTGGTAGTGGGCATTGGCACAGAGGAAGAACAAAGTTTTATTTGATTCATTATACTCAATTCGATTTGTAATTTTAGTAAAATGTAAGAAATTAGCAAACAAACCTCAATAAAACGTTTAATTTCCTATAGATTTTTTTCAACATAGTGATTACTAAAAACCTTTACATATTTTCACAACATCAAAATTATAAAGAGTGTTTGTTTGAACGCGCTAATCTCAGGAACTACTAATCCATTTTGAAAAAATATTTTTGCATTAGATAGCCCGTTTATTGAGGAAGGCTAAAGTATATATATCATCATGCTACTACCCAAGGAAGCCGAGCAATAATCATAAATGTCAACAAATCGGACAGACTTCCATACATTATTGTAAAACTGATGTTTATATCAGAAATTTAAACGCGGGCAAAGCCGCGCGTTCTGTTAGTTTAAAAATAAAACACATAATACCATATAACATATATTCATTAATTATTCATTACAGCATATAATATATAAGTATGACATAAACGATATCTAACTCGCGACAGAGGGCTGGTACTGTGAGGCGAGACGTTTGAACTCGTTGACTTTCGCGTTATACTCCTTGGTGAAGGGATGGTCAGGGTGAGAGTCCAGGAGCTGGGCGAGGTAGCGGGAAGACACCTGTAATGTTTGTTGTAGATTCATTTATCCATGGTCCATAATTTTTGACGACACGTTTGGCTCAGTTTGTAGTGGACCCTACTTGCTGTGCCAGCGATCGCGGATTCGAGTCCCGCTGGGGGTATTCATTTGTGTGTTGAGCACGAATGTTTGTACTCCAGTCATGGCTGTTTATATTTATAATATGTATGTATTTAATGTTATATATGTGTAGTGTATCAACTATCTGGTATGCATAACACAAAAAAATGGATTACACTATCGAACTATCCTGACTTCGCTCAGGTCGTTAGGTGCCTACAATAGCCTATGTGTCTTTGTATTGTGAATATTGTACCTTTGTCTTGTACAAAATTCCATCCAAATCGGTCCAACCGTTTCAGCGTGAAGGGAGTTACATGATGCAAATACATACAATTACTATACTAGTACCATGTCTCATCACGAACAAAGAAAAATAAGTTCAAAAAAATGTCAATAGATGGCGTTGCATGTATCGATTTGTTATTAAACTTGTGATAAAACTAACAAAAGATAAAAATTAGATCTCAAAAAGGTATATTATTTAAAAATATTCTAAGTGAAGGGAAAAGAAATAATGCGCCTGTAAATCAAATTTGCGTAATTTTACTAATTATTAAAATATCAGCAATCAGATGATGGGTTTGCTGTGTATATTCACAGATGGCGCTTTTACTTTTTATGAATTATTCATCACGGTTAAATTTGTTAAAAACACTGAAATATTTTTATTCGAAAGCAGAATGAATTTTAAAATATTTACAATACGTTAGTTTGCACATATTTATAAAATAAAACAATTTAACTATTTGCGAATCAACGACATCTATTATCTATTCATGAAAACAAAAATAGCCAAAAGAATAGCCGGAATTAGCGCTGTCCAATTTCTTTGTATGAGATGAGGCATCTGTGCTTGTACACATCTTGCAATGCAAACAAATTGGATGGCCCTAATTAAAGTTGTTTTGATCGCCTTAAATAGTCGATAGATGGCGTTTATCCATAAACTTCTTAAATTCAGGGATAGATTCAATCATAAATTGACAGATTGTAATATTTAAGTTATTTCAAAAATTTAGACAAGCGCCATCTAACGTAAGTTGCGGCAAAACAACATAACCCGAAGAATATATATGCGTACGTGTATTCTACAGTAGTGTATTATGAGGTCTCATTATAGAATAAAGAAAAATTATTTCAAGTAAATGTCAATAGATGGCGTTATTATCGACTGATGTTTATGTACAATTAATAAGGGAAAATAAACAAATTTGAAAAAGGTGTATTCTGAAATTTAATAGTACTCTTAATGAAGGAAAATGAAATATTTAAACATGATTACACCGTTTGTTGTTAAGTTAGATATATCTTTTCAAATTTTTTCACTGATTTATTTTGATTTTTGATTCCCCACATTTCGAATGCTTTACAGTATTCATAGTCACGGCATAGATTAAGGTTTGAGACGTCTCAAAGATCATTATATACTTGTTACAGACATATAATATCGCCATATTTAGCGCTATTATATAATATATAGCCTATCTATTCCATACCAACGGTTATAAAATAAAAATAAGTCAGATGTCGTTTAAAAAAAATGGGCATACCTCCGGGGGTTTCCCACTATGCGCGGCCGTCACGGCCAGCCCTAACAACAGCTCGGGCTGCTGCGGAGCGCGCGCCTGCGCTTCTGTCAGCATTTGCTCTGCTTCCTCCCACATACCTGGAAGCAAAATAATATAAAATGTATTCCTATTCAGCCCTTATTAACTGTCCCACTGCTAGGCACGGACCTCCCTTCATCACTAGGGGTATTAGGCTATAGTTCACCACGCTGGCCAAGTGCGGGTTGGCGGACTTCACATCTCTTTCTAAAACTTGGTAGGTTCTCTCAGACATGTAAGTTTCCTCTGAATATTTTGCTTCACCATATGGTAAGTGTTCACAATAATTCACACATAGGTATAACAGAGGTGAGAGACCCGGGATTTGAACCCGCTTTATTTGATTCCTCACCGCCTAAAAGACAATATAATAATAGAAAACTTATACTTTTTACTAACTCACTGGCACTTATTTTTAAGGTACCATAGCATATTGGCAAAAATGAAACTTTCGTAACCCATGTTCATATGTCTTAAAGAACACCATAAGGTTTGGTTGGTGGTTGGTATGAACATAAATATAACTTTGTTTATCTATACATATAATAAAATTGTAACTAAGTCGAATCTGTACATTAAATATTTTTTGGAAAATCTAATTGAAATAGACATTATTATCGATACAAAGTCCGAATCTATAGTTTTTAGAATTTTTGTCTGTCTGTCTGTTACCGCATCACGACAAAACCACTGGACAGATTTTGATGAAATTTGGTATTATGATAGCTGGTTATCCGGGTATCATAATACCAAACACATAGGATACTTTTTACCGCGGGAAAATATCTCATTTCTGAGAAAAAATAAAAAAACTGCATTGTAAGAGTATACTAATATGTAAAACCAAAGAATTTGGTTTTTGGTCATCTGAACGCGGGCGGAGTCGCGGGCAATGCTAGTTATAGATAAAATAATTTATTTTACTTTTAACATAATAAACTAGAAAAAGTTAAGCAAGCATTTTCATAAAATGACTTGTAATAAAGGTACAAAAAATATATTTTTTATGTAAGCACAAATTAAAGTTTAACATGAAATATTAATCAAAAAAACCAGTATCCAAAATTAATTATGAATTCTAACATAATAATATGAATACTTTGCATAATAATTAAATCCATATCAACCTCTAGAGGCAGCAGCAGCGGCTCCCACAGCTGAAGGCCCAGCTCCCAGAGCCCCGAGTCTCTCCGCCAACTCCATTATACTGTAGTGTGCATCTTGTACTCCCGGACCACCCTACAATGTTATATATTGAAAATTCATATAATAACCCACAGTAATTACTTAATTTATAATTAAAAACTACCATATTGTGTCACATAAGTATAATTATGACACAATCAAATTTTGATGGGACAGGAATTCGACAAGACAAGTGAAAAAACAGGCGCAGGACCGACAGATTCACATACTCTCTGAGGCATGAGGGGAATACACCACCAACTTCCCAACTCTGGGCTGTTACTGGGACTTTCTTAACAGAAAAGCTCAATAACTAAAGTTGCCAAAACCCGGCAGTCGAACCCAGGACCTCTAAATGTGCAGCCGTAAATGCTAGCCACTAAACCACTAAGGCAGTTTCTAGTATAATGTGGTTTCTGTCTAGTCTAATTAGTATGGTCTCCCATCATAAAGAAAGAAGAATTAGTATAAATAAATTACAATAGAGGTTGTTATATTAATATTTTAATGAAAAATAAATTGTTTGCAATAAAAGTATAGTTTCACTAAATGGGAAATAATCTATACAAATATAACATAATGTTATCTTTGCTAGTGACAAAATTTTCACAATGAGATAGATATTTTTAGAGTTTACCTCCTTTATTCTAACTTACAACTCGTTGTGAGTATTCATTTGTAAGGATTTTATTATTAAAATAAATTTAAATATGATGTTAATTTTTAAAAGTAAAAGAGCAACATACATAGTGGGTGGCTTCTAATCCATGTGCAAATTTTAAATTATGCATAATACAGTTCAAAAAATATTTATTTAGGAAAAAAATTAATAGTGAGCCCTACTTATTAATTTTAATATAAATAAATTAATTAGTTTATAAATATATTTATAAAAGTATATACCTGAGACAAATTAAGCCAACTTTGGGCCAACTGTGTCAATGTACTGTCATCTTCAATATCCTGCAAAGCTTTCAGTTGCTTACGAGCAAGATCATGCCGGTTCATAGCCAATAAACACTGCAATGTAAAAGCTCTCAGTTCTAATGTTTCAGCTCCATGAAGGATTCTAAAATGAAAGAATTGTAATATATTATAAGACAATTAGTTATTTGTAATCTAGTAATGTATGTTTTTTTAAGTCACTAATTTTGTCACATTCATTATATAAGAAATAATAAACACTAAATATTAAAATTTTCCAAATGTATAAATATTTAATTTATTATTAAAATAGACAAAAAACGCACATAATATGCAATACAACTCACTTTAAAGCTGCTTCATAATTTTCCTCATGATAGTAGATAGTGGCAGCGACAATGAGAAATATCTCATTTGCAAGCTCTACTCCTTTTGCGACCTGTAAAAAACAGATATAAAAAAAATATTTTCAGTCTTAGAATTTTATAGTAGAAGTATAATATATCACGACATTTTACATCGGCGGCGATTTAGAATTGGGGACTTGGCCCCTAGCGGAGTGGGTGGTATTTCTGGATAAGGGACGTGATAGAGAGTCGAAATGTTAAATAAATTTTTTAATACAACAAAAGAGTCAAAAGTTATTGAGACTTAAAGTTATAACATTTCCATACATTATTTTGACATTACTACCATTTAGACACTTGGAGTCAAAACGTCACTTTCAATTGTCAAAATGATCTCCAGATGATTGTCTTTATTTGTACTTTGCGTGAAATTCGAATTTTCTAGTTTTCTAGTCATTTATGGCACTCGCCGGCCGCTACCGCGGCACGCTCGCTTCGCTCGCTCGGCTCGTGCGTTGTGGCAACTGTTCTAACCTAACCTAACCAAGATATGACGAATAATTAATAAATAATCTTAAATGTTCTAACCTAACCTAACCCAGATATGAGGAATAATAAATAAATAATCTTAAATGTTCTAACCTAACCTAACCCAGATATGAGGAATAATAAATAAATAATCTTAAATGTTCTAACCTAACCTAACCCAGATATGAGGAATAATAAATAAATAATCTTAAATGTTCTAACCTAACCTAACCCAGATATGACGAATAATAAATATATAATCTTAAATGTTCTAACCTAACCTAACCCAGATATGACGAATAATAAATAAATAATTAAAAATATTCACAGATAAAAAAATGATTTTTTTTACTAAATGTACAATTGTAAAACAATATATTTTACATAAATCAAATAAAAAGTCATAAATGTATTTATAAAGTGAAAATAATATTTTTCTTTTTATTTATTTATTTATTAATAGTAATATTTTACCAACAGAAAAAGCAAAAATAATCAAATATAATCTGTTGTCATTTAAGCGGTAATATAAAACAAAGTGTCAGTTTTGCTTTTGTCAAAATGTAAGATCATTTTGTTTGTGTTGTGAAATTATTAAAATATTAAATACAATAAAGCATTAATTGTTGTGAAAATGTGTAATGTACATAAAAAAGGATGCGTACTATTCGTTAAAGGTATGTTTATCTGTTGTAATCACTTATTAAGGTAAAGAAATGTATGGAAATGTGTTAGATATGTTATAACTTTAAGTCTCAATAACTTTTTAGTCGTACGTTTCCTCCAAATATTTTTAATATATTTTGACTCTCTGTCACCTCCCCTATCTAAAAATACCACCCACTCCGAATGGTGGTAAAGAAATATATGAAAATGTATGGAAATGTTGTAACTTTAAGTCTCAATAACTTTTGAATCTTTTGTTGTATTAAAAAATTTATTTAACATTTCGAGTCCCTATCACGTCCCTTATCCAGCAATACCACCCACTCCGCTAGGGGCCAAGTCCCCAATTCTGAATTTGTGCCTTTACATCTACACAATATGTAACATATATATTAAAAATATTTATTTGATATGCAAGACATAATATTTATGAAAAGTAAGTGTCCTGACTCAACATTAAAATTTAATGTTGTGCTTTGAATTAACATATTAGCCTATTTTAAAAAAAGATATAAAGATCTCTACATGACAATTTATTCTTTCATTGGATACAAACATTTTATAGCTTTATACACCAATAACCTAAAACTTATTTAGAAATCTAAGTACAAAAATATATATACTTACTCTAGCATCAATTTCGGCCACAATAGCTGGTTTATTTGCACCAGGAGACAAATATTCTACTAATGTCTTTAATGGTTGTAGCATTGGATCTGCACTTTTGAGCTCTTGCAAAACAATTCTGTAATTGCCCTGTGCAATGTAAGAGCGGTAAAGAAATGCATCTCGCTGAAGTGTTACCATTGGAGAAGAAGACTAAAACAAAATAAACATTCTTATTATTACGTATTATTTTAATTGTGGTGTTACATTTTAACCGACTTATTTATAAGAGTAAATTAACAAAACACTTATCAAAATAAACGTCAACACGTCATCGGCAGAGTCAGTGGACGTTTAATAAAACAGTAACAAAACTATAAATACATATTTTAAATATAATGTTTTCTACTTACATTAACGTTTTGTGCCTCATTAATGGCTTGTTGATAATTTCCAACATAATATGCATTTTTAACATCGAAAAGTTCATCAACATCCTGCTGCTGACGTGCCATCTTGACAACAATTGACAGTTGTCAAATTATGAACTTGACAATTTTATAGATCGTTCAAAAATTATATTTCTCCGTTCTACACGACATTGACGAGTGAATAGTGCTCAATTGTATTATCGGTATTATTTCCACGAAGTTATTACCTTTCTACGCAATATTAAAAATACGGTTATCAACTGGCAACTGACGCGCCATAATTATATAAAACAACAAACTGAATGGGGAATAATTTTGCCTTTTTCTCCCGCCAGATGTCGCAATCACTATGGCCCTCAGTATATTGTAAAGCTCTACAGCGTGGATGGTTTTTTTTTCATTTTATTTAAAATCGAATACCTTTAAACAAGCAATTCTTATATATTTATTTATTTATAAATACCGGCGATCTCAAAATCGATCTAGATTAGTCTTATGTCTGCGGTTTTCTTTCGCATTATTCCACGCAAAATAGGGTCGCTAACTTCGCACGATCGGGCATTAGCATCGTGGTCAAGCGGCCATGATGCAAGATTGACAATCATAGGTGTCCGGGTTCGAATCTCGATCGAATACAAAGGTTTTATTTTTGTATTTTTTTTTATTTATTCAAGTTTTAAGTTATTTTTGTTTTTAAGCCAAATTAAAAAGAAAATTATACTTTTGGCTAAAAACTCCAAGCGAAGCTCGGTCACCCAGATACTTTAATTAAAATAACAAATTGTGCAGTGCCAGGATGCAAAGAAAATTTATATCATTTGTTCCCAAAAGACAAAAACTGAAGAAATTGTGGGCTAAAGCAATAAGACTATCAAAATTGGCGAAATAACAATCTTTATATGTATTTAAGGCTATGTGGACATCATTTTACAAAAAATAATTTGAAAACTCATAAAACAACACAACACAATAAACAGGTGCATATATTTTTTTATCGTTTGTATATTATTACAGAGTTTCGTACAAACTTTCGTCCCCCATTTTTCCTTCTTATGGTATTGAATTTCTAAAAATGCTAACACATGCATTTTTTTAATAGTATTGAAGAGCATTTATACCAAGTTTCAAGTAATTCTGATCATAAATAATTCTTTACTCATATAAACTTTATTACCCCCTTTTAGCCCTATAAGGGATGAATTTCAAAATAAAACAAATATATTTCTTATCCTTAAAGCTAAACACCATTTTTTGTGTGATTCATATTATGAATGACAGACAGTCAGGACCACCACAGGATGCCCCTCTCCTTCTCAATTCTTTCATCAGCTGGTATAACTTCCAGGTACAATACATTGTACAGGGTAAGATGCAAATACAATAGAAGCAAAAAAAAACAAGTATAAAAGATTGAATGTAAATCAAAAATCTTCCCCATTTTTTTAATATTCTATAAATAATTATAATAAATAAAAAAAACTTTACATTTTAAGTCTACATAATTTTACAATTTCATGAATATATTTTTTTCTTCAATAATTGCACATAAGGTCTAGATTAAAACTTCTTTTATTTTTTCAATTGAATGCATTTTTTAAAGTGGATTTTATCATAAATAGATAGATATTAGCATAAAATTAAGTAAAAAAATATTTTTAATCTTAAGTCTTCTATGCATATAATAAAATTGTAACCAAGCCGAATCTGTACATTAGATATTTTTCGGAAAACCTCATTTAAATAAACATTATTATTTATTATCGATACAGAGGCCGAATCTATAGTTTTTAGAATTTTTGTGTGTCTGTCTGTTTGTCTGTCTATTACCGCATCACAGAAAAACCACTGGAGGGGTTTTGGTGAAATTTGGTATGGTGATACATGGTTATCCGGGTTAGCATATTGGATACTTTTTACCGCGCAGAAATATCTCATTTCTGGGAAAAAATACAAAAAAATTTCAATTAATTTCAAAAACTGCAAAGTAAGAGTATCTAAAATGTGAAACCTAAGAATTTGGTTTTTGGTCACCTGAACGCGGGCGGAGCCGCGGGCAATGCTAGTAATCTATAAAACCTTTTTTTTAAACTAATAAATCCACAACTAAACCTAGTAGTTAGATGTTTTAAATAATTTAATTTAATATTTAACAGCATATTAAACTTAAGAGGATTTACAGATATTACAGTAATAAAAATGTAGGTACTATATAATTACATATTATACTTATAAAATTTTAATTTAATTTGTACTTATTCTATAATCTATGTATGGCGCAAAAAAACCTTTTTTAATACTTTGTCTATAGAATTGTATTTTATCTTTTCTGGGCTTGAATGAATGTTTTGTACGGAAGAAAATCTAAATTAATTTCACTAAATAAAAAAAAATAAACAGGTAAGGTGCGATTAAAATACAAAATATGCTTTGTGCTTTTTAATTTGTTCTTCAGAGTTTACCCTTATCTTTGTATTCAATGAACAATGCTGCTTTTCAATGATTTCGTCTCATGTTATAGGAGATATAAACAGATCTTTTCCAGGTACAAATATCAGGTATATTTTAAGGTACGCAATAATGTTCGTTAACATCACAAGTTAAATTTAAAAAAAGTACTTGAATTTACTTTTTTTATTACGCAAGGGGAATAATATTAAAAAACATGTAATTATGTTATTATTTAAAAGAAAAAGCTTTTGTTGAAAATTATATTCAACTATTAATAAATACTATTGTATATGCACTCATGAATATTCAAAAAATATTGGTTATCTTGAAAATAATTCTGAATAAAAAAATTCTTTACCCTTTTAACTTAGAAGCTACTTAATATTGCATTTAAAAGTTAAAAATATTTAAAGTTGCACTTAAATCATGTAAATAATATGAGGTAAACCAACATCTATAAAAGAACAACAAAACGCGCATGTCTCTGGCGCCAGAAGTTGTGGGTTCAAATTACGTACGTGACGAATAATCGGTTCAACTGATTTCCTGCTAAACTTTTTAGTTTTTTTAATTTAAATATAAATATGTATAAAACATTTAATAAAAGAAATATAGTACTCGTCTTAATAACAGATAGAAATATTATAATAATTTGTAAAATACTTTACAGCAAGCGCAATAAAATTTTATAAATGGAATTTCAAAACACTGAAGCTATGAATGAAGATCGCGCTACATCTTTACAAAGTCAAATGCTCTATTTATTATTTTATTGCTCGACTTTGTAATGACTTGAAAGTTGAAAGATAATATTGAATGCCTCTTTTATTACTTACAACTATTATTTGGTGTTAGATATTCTAAGAAAATGTATTTATATTATATTTTTAAATTATCTTATCATATATTAGCAGCTTATCTATTTTATTCTATGGACCACGTCTTTTTTATCTGCCTAGGAGTTAGATTAAAAAAAGCGCCTTCTTCTGTTAGTAGTTCTAGGAATCTGTTAACTCGACAAGTATGAAATAGTCTTACAGAACTTTACATTTTTTTGGGTATACTATTATATGATCCGTGTTTTGGGCTACTAGTATGCAAAAGACTAACAATATAACAACTTCTCCAGTTACTCCAGCCCCAGGTCATAGTCTATCTCCGGATCCGGCTAGCCGTTTAAGGAGTATTAACACACAAACATTTATACACATACATTTCACATATACATAATATAAAAGTAGTCCGAGAAGTCCGTATTTATTCTCCATTGTCCAACTATGAGTTGATGTTGCCCTAATTTCCAATTTTATCTTAACATATACGAGTACATAGGTCTAATAAAGTAATCGTAAGGTCATTCTGTTGCTTCCTTATGAATTAATAGAACCCGTGACCTCCAACTTCGCCTGTACATATACTTCGAGGCCATTATACCAGGTAGCTCAAAATGTTCATTTACACATCATATTTTTTAACTGCCTCGATAGTAGGTATAATGGCTAGCAAGTAGGTACGGTTGCACATCTAGAGGTCCTGGGTTCGAATCCCGGATCGAGCCAAGTTTAGTTATTGAATCTTCTGTTTAGTAAGCCTCAGTAACAGCCTGGTTGGTGGTGGGAAGTTGGCGGTGTTCCACCCCCGTGCCTAGGAAAGCACGTAAAGCCGTCGGTTCTGCGCCTTAACTCTCACTGGTCGTGTCGAGTGGTCGTCCCACCGGAGTATGAGAGTGACAGGAATAGAGTCTGCGCGTACACTTGTGCACTATAATATCTCCTGCGCAGATAGCTAGTCTCAATGAGATTGGCAGCCGTTGTCGAAATCGATCGGGAGGAAATTATAATTAGTATTTAATATTATATTTTTTTAATTAAAATTTTCTAATCTAAATATAAGTGTACCTAATACTTTCACATTACTTATGATTAATGAATAATAATATTTTATCAATATTCACTTAATATGATTCCATCGCTCATATAAAAATAAATGAAATAAGTATTTTTTTATAAATATCTATAATAATGTCAAACATTCGCGTAAATCTAAGAAAGTATTAAATATCTATTGTTATTTAATTTATTCTTTGAAATATTCCTATAATAGTTTAAATAATTTTGAATTGACTATTTATTAACGTACCGTCTCCGTTACGAAAATCGTAACGCCAATACTTTTTTCCCTCTCATGGTGCGCCCAAAGAAGTTTCACCTCAAAACGTTACGAAATCAGGTAACATATATACCTACATGTATTTTCAAATTGTAACACTGTAGCAACCTTAATTAGAATTATTATTTTTTAATATAAAGTAGATACTTTGGTACTATTTCTCTTTTCTTCTAAATTATTGTAAATATACTCACCCTCGTTTCGCTCGAGATCGTCCCTAGATTGATTCCCCATACAAAATTCATCCTTATTGATAAAAAAATTCTATGTCCTTCCCAGGGTCTCAAACTATCTTCTAGCCAAATTTCATCTAAATCGGTTCAGTCGATACAGAGATTACCCGCTACAAATTCACAAACACACAAACTTTACCTATTTATAATATTAGTCTAGATTTTTGTAGGTAGAAACTGTCTGTACTCTGTAATAACTATGAATATTAATACATTAAAAACCTTAGTCTCTCC